GGCAGCCCCGGCGGCCCGCGCCGCCCGATGTGGATTTGAGGGGCCTGGGGCGGGCGGTGACGAGTGCGTTTGTAAAGAGGCTGAAGGTGTGTGTTTGGGTCCCGGCGAGGGTGTGTTTGCGAAGGGTCGTTTGTGTTGGCGAGGAGTGTGTGTTTGTGTTTGCAGGCAAGGGAGTGTGCGTGTGTGTTTGTGTTTTCTTCGGAGTGTGGGGGCGGCCTAGAAAGGTTGGCCGGGCTGTCACTCAGCGATCTGGTTGACAGGCGCTCCCTCATCTGGGCCCGGGAGCTCTGATTGCAGATTCGAGGAAACAAAATAGCAATTGTAATTACGGGGCTTTGATAAGATAAAGGAAGGAAGGAGCTGGCCGGCAAGCGAACGAGCTGGCCCGCGGAGGGAGGGAGGGAGACAGCGGCCTGCAGGGGCCCTGCGGAACATTTGCATCTGTCAGTCAGGGCGAGCCGGGACACAACTGGGTGCCTGCTGTGGGGATGTCCCTATGTGCCTCCCTCCCCCAGAGACACAGGCTTTTGGGGAGATGAGAAAATTCTCAGCCAATTGGATGAGGGTCGGGTTCATGGGAGGGTCTCCAGGGTAAAGGAATTCTGGCCCTGCAGAGGCCCTGTGGCAAGATGGGACTGACCCGGCCTCCAGCCTTTAGGCCCAGGGTGCCCATCTCCTCTAGGGGAGAGGGAGGCCGGTGGGTGAATGCCACTGAGGTTCCATCTAGGGTCCTTAGAACTTTCTGGGTGTTCCAGAACCAAAGTTGGGTTGGAAGCTGGTCTGAGTTTGGGGCCCTGACCCCCACCCCCACTCTGGGCCGGGCAAGTGCTCAGAGTGGCTCCAGTGGTGACTCCAGGGCGGTGTACACAAGCTGGCTCCCTGACTCCCTACCTGGGCCCTGCTCCCTGCCCTTCTCATCAGACATTCTCAGAGGGCTAGGTCAAGGGGGGGAAAGGCCCTTTTAGAAGTACTCATTGCCTGCTCTCCATCTCTCCATTCATTCATTCTTTCACTCACTAATACCCCCAAATAAACCTTTTTGAGGAGCTCCTACATCCAGGGCACGAAGTTAAGATGGAGAGCAACCAGACATCTGCCGTGCCTGCTTAGAGCCAAGGAGCAAGGCAGACAGACACGCACACACAGGCTGGGAGGCCGGGTACCGTGGAGAAGGGCTGGCCTGGGCGTGGGCAGTGGAGCCCACCTGGCCCACCACCCCTCCCCCCCCCCACGCACCTCCCTGGGGCTGAGGACACAGCGCCTACCGGGCCTTTACCAGCACAGGTTACGCTAGCACTCACCTGGGATCTGAGGGAGGAGCATCAGTCAGGTCTCCCATGGGGCGATGCACACATCTGAATACCCAGCCAGCCTCCGCACTACTCATTCATTCATTCATTCACTCTGTGGACACTAACCGCAGGACAACTTGGTCCAGTTCTGCGACACCAGCTGCGGTTCGTAAGCTAGTAAGACGCGGTCCTTGCCCCACTCTGTGCCAGCGAGAGCCAGTGACCAGACTCCTGGCTGGGAGTCACGGGGTGCTGAGGAAGTCTACTCTGAGGACAGGACATTTGGGGAGAGCCCTCCAAACTATCTTTGCTTCTACACGAGCTGGGTGTTTGCAGCTGGGCGTGGGGAGAGGTGGGGCACAGAAAGGGGAGCTGGCAGAGCCCGGGTGTTGCTGGACAAGGGCCTGCCAGTTCCCTCTGGCCTAATGGCTTCCCCACCCCTCCAGCCCTACCCCCAATGGCAGGGTGAGCCAGTGGGGAGGAGGGGATGACAGCTAGATGGAGCTGCTGTGGCCCTACCTGCTCTCAGAAGTACCTGTCCTGGGGCAGCTCTGCCCACCCAGGGGGCTCCCACAGACAGTGTGGGGCTCAGGCTTTCCAGGAGCCCCAGGGAAGCAAGAAGGCTGGGCCCCGGAGGGTCTTAACTAGCCCCTAATTCCCCCCACCCCAGGGGACACACCCCAGCTGCCACAGGCACCAGCTTATACCAAATACATAGCAATTGTGTAAATACCCCTTGGATGAAAAACTAAGGGAACTCCGAGGGTGGAGGGCTGGGCCGCCTGGATTTAAGTCCTGTCCCCTAGGAAAAGCTGTAGGTAGTCACTCCTGCCCCTGCAGCCTGCTGCGCTTGAATGGAGAGGGGGGAGAGGCTGTGGGTCCCTCCAGGGACATCTGGGCTCTCCTTTCACGAAGTAGATGGTGGTTCTTCTCAAGCTTCGGGCTGTGTGTGTGCGCGCGCGTGTGCAGGGGAGTGGGAGGACAGGGCAGGAGTGATGGTGAGAAGGGGGAGGGAGGCATTGCTCTCTCCGGGCACTCCTTGGAGACTGAACAAGACAGGACAGACCGGCAGGGCGGGGTACCCAGTGGAAAGATGGGCACCGAATGCCAGCGCACCGCACTGCACTGCGCCTTCACTCCACAGCTCCGGCGCTACGAGGGGCAGGCCTGGTGGGAGCACACAGTAGGTGGCTCAGAGACAGACTGCGCAGCACAAGCGGATCCGGCCCCAAGGCGGAATCCTAGCACCACCCGACTCGGGCGCACCAGGCGGGCTAGGAAGCCCCACAAGCAGGGTGCCCGAGACACCCCCCATTTTCGCGTGTCCTGGCCCCAAGAGCGCGCGAGGGGACAGGCCAGGGACAGGGGGAGGCGCCCGCACCGGCCACCCCCGCCCCCTCCCGCGGGGCCCCAGCCCCCCCCCCCCGC